GGTATGCTACTATGCACCAAGTTGGCCACCACAGAAGAAAAAGAACTTTATTATTTTGGATTTTCACCTTGTTTGCTCTGTTTGCTCAGTAACCTGATCTATTTGAAAGACAAATATTCGTTTTTAAAAATCACATTGCATTGTCTGCAAAGCTGTCTTTTGCTGACATGGAAAGAAGTAAACTGAAGTTTAACCTTTTAATATGATTGTTAAACTACCTGGTGTCTCTCAGGAAAGGTAAGGAAGTACTCTAGAATCCAAATTTGCCTGTGATGAAGGATACAATTTTCCTTTTTCAGTCTATGCATGGCAGAAAACAATTCCTACTATGTGATTCTAGTGATGCCACAAGTGATTCTAGTGAAATAATGTGGAACATACCAAACTGTCATCAGATGTGAAGTTAGAACTGAGATAAGCAGAAGCCAGCATTTGTGTATAATACAAACCATCCACAGTACGTAAGTACATGGGGAGTGATAAACAGCCACTTTGATAAGGCAGGGAAAACACCATTCTTATCACTTCATAAGTAAAAAATCCATAGGATTGCTTTAATGAGGGAAACTGATTCTTCTTTACCATGGATGATGCAGTCATGGTTTTAAAAACATGACTAAATAATGCCAAAGGAACTTTCTAATAGTGTCTTCCAAAGAGACACTAGAGCTTGGGCACTTCTGGAAGTGGCGACTTATGTGTGCTGCTCTGGTCTAGAACCCATGCACATTTAAGATTTAAGGATGTTACTGTGGATCAAAGACAGCTGCAAATTCTTTGCTACTCCCTCCTCTTAGAGGTGGAGTCTAATTCTCCTCCTTTGAATTTGGGCTGCCTTAGTGACTTGCTTGACTAACAGAATGTGAAAGAAGTGATGTTCTGGAACGTCAGAGGCCAGATCAGACGTCTTGCAGCTTCTACCTAGATTTCTTAGAACACTCATTCTGAGAGAAGTCAACTACTATGTAAGAAGTTTGACTACACTGAAATCACCATGCTGTGAGGAAGCCCAAGCTAGCCACATTGAGAGAGAGAGAGGTGCCCAGCCAGCCCCAGCTCTCCCAGCCACACTAGCCCAGGTACCAGGTGTGTGAATGAAAGAGTCATGTTGGATATTCCAGCCTCAGTAGATGCAATGTGTAACAGAACCAACGATCCCAGAGGATAGCCAGAATCGAGACCACAGGCATATGGCCCCAGTTGAGCTATGTCAGCCACCTCCAGCCATTAAGCCACCCCAGCTGACGCTCTAGTCATTGAGGAGCAGAGATGAGACCCCATGCTGTGTTCTCTCTGAATTCCTAGCCTACAAATCATGAGTGTAAGAAAATGGTTGTTATTTTATGCCACTACTTTTTGGAGCGCTTTGTTATGCAGTAATAGATAACTGGAACAGATGCTGAAGAGAGAATAATGCAGGGTAACGCATGCCTTGAAAACTCAGTGGGTTTCAACAGCAGCACTTCTTTTTCTCACTCATGGGTCTGGGCACTGCATGGGGTGCCCTTCTTTAGGGCTGTGAGGGAGCCGGGCTTGCTCAAGGCTGCAGGCTGGATTCAGACACACTCCTCTGTCTTTGTTCTGGTGCCAGGCTGAAGGGACAACGTCTACCTGGGGCACGCTGAATCACACATATGCAGGAGCCCAAGCGCAACTCTGCAAAAACATTTTGATGTCTCTGCTTGCTTCACATCCACTTATTCCATTGGCCAAGTTGGTCACGTGGTCAAGCTCAAAGTCAAAGTGGTGAGTAAGTGCACTCCCATCCAGGTGGGAGGAAGAAGAGAGGAAATACTTGCTGAACGATACTTTAACCTATCGACAGATTCAAGCATCAGATGATGGTGGTGGTGATGGTGAGTGGTGTCAGACTGGACCATTTTTAAGGTATTTCTAGTGGTATAATGATAAGATATAAGGTATGTTTTAAGGTATAATTTGGTACTTATACATCTAGAACCTAGACAGAACACATACAAGTGTGGTGGGGGAAGGTATCTAAATACAGGAATCGATAATTTTTTTTTGTACCAAATACCTACAAGCAGGAGGCATGTAAAATTATGAAAAGACAGAAGAAATGTGATGGAAAAGCAAAAGGAGAGGGATTTGAAAAAGGAAGAAGGAGAGAAAAAGAAGGCAGAAAGTGAAACGCTTTACCCACTGTTGGGGAGGCCAAGAGTGAACACCTTTTTCCTGGTTTGCCTCACATGTAGGCAGAGCAGCCACAGGGCAGGCTAGTCCCCGAAAGAAGCCCCAAGAGACCAGCTCCTCCTTAAAGAGAGGTTTTGCTAGTTCAATGACAAATACATTTGGCATGGCATAAGGCACCCCCAAACACCGCTCTCCCACTCAGCACCACACTTATGTCCAATGAAAGTGCCAATAGCGCAGGGAGTTCTCCACTCCCAATTGAGGGTTAACTATTAACACAGCTCCGGGGTGCACGGGAACAGCACAAAAAGCTATAGGCAGCAAACAGAGTTGGAGCAAGGGGGATTAAGAAAGGCTTTGGGAGAGAAGAGGTATCTGAACTGGGACTGCATGGAGGAGCCAGAAAATGCGAAAGCAGCACACGGCCCCATTTATGTCGCACGCATAGAGGGCACAAGGCTGGAGAGTGAGCTGAGGCCAGATCACGGTAGGTCTTGAATGCCACGCTGAAGAGCATATTCTTAATGCAGTGCGAGCCACTGAAAGCTTTTGAACGGTAAGTAATATGAAGGACTTGTCCTTCAATATCATTCTTTCCTGCTTCTTTAGTAACAGAAGCCCCAATTTTTAACTGTGTATATGCCTGTGCATAATAAAGATCACATTTCCTAATTTCTCTTGCAGCTAGGTGTGGTCACATGACTAAATTCTGGTTAATGAAATATAAAGGAAATGGTGTATGCAACTTTTAGGAAGTGTTCCTAAAGGGAGAGGGCATTGCTCCTTTTTTCCTTGCTGGATGGAAGCTGAACCTAATCCTGACATGCATATTATTCATTAGGAAGATTGGCCTGGGGCAAGGCAAAATACAGGATGGTTGGAACAAGAGGAACAATGGAAGTGTGAAGGCTAATTAGAACATTTTGATAGTCAAGATAAGAAGGGAGGAAATGAGAACTGAGCCAGTATGGCAGCAGTGGGAATGGATAGGAGGGGTGGATGTGATAAATATTGCGAAAGGAGTGTCTGTGGGTCTTGGCAATTCATCAGATGAGAGGAGACACTAGAGAAGGAAGACTCAAAGGTCACTTTGAGGTTTCAAACAGAGGTGACTGGGAGGTCAATGATGTTGATAACAGAAATAGGGGAGTCAGAAGGATGAGCAGTCTTCAAGAAGGCAAGCGTGTGTTCAGTTTCGGACATGATGAATTGGGATCCCTGCCCAATATCCAGGTGGAGATGTAAAGCAGGCAAATGGAGATTCATTTCTGGAGCATGATTTGAGAGTCCTTTGCATAAAAGTGGTAGTCAAAACAAAGGGAGGGGCTGGTTGGCCAAATAGAGTGTGTCCTGGAAATTCCTCTTCGGTGCCCACAGAGTAACAAACCTCTTTCTGCAAAACCAGATAAAAATATGTACACCTTTTCACCGGACACTAGCTCCCTCCTTCCCTCAAAAAATCCTACAAGCTCCAGCCAATGGCTGGCTTGCTGGCTTCAAACAACTAATCCTCACTGTCTCAAGATTTGGACAGCTCCTCAAGTTCCTTACCAAGGCATTTTGATTTGCACAAATATCTGTCGTGGCATGTTTTAAGATGACTCCTTTTCAGTAAGACATCTATAGTAAATTGCCTTCCTTCTCAGTTCAGGTTAGCCACACACAAAGAAGACTTCCCTTTCACAGAAGTCTTAAAAGAACAATTTCTTTCAAAAGCAGAATGAGAAAATATAAAAATCTAATAAATGTGACAGAGTAAAACGACTCTGCAGAGGTTTCTCTTATATCTGCGGTGACCAGAGCAGATATTAAATAAAAGTTGAAATAAAAAGGAAGTGAGTCGAATGTGAACATTAAGGAACCATCTTTGCAAGCTGACTAAACAGCTGTCTACACTGTTTTCAGGCGACGGTTGAGGGCCGAGGGATGGAACAGGTTCAACTCCAGTTGCTTGTGTGTTTCAGCTGAAGTTACATGGTAGAAACACAACTATAAGCGGTGGAGAGAGAACTTCGTTTCTTCTAGAAGAGTTTTGCGTCTTCAGCCCACATACCGCAGACAGCTGCCAGGCAGCCCCAAGCATGCGCCTCGTAGTGCACTAGTGGGCCCGGACGTCGGGTTTGGAGCCACTGGGGACCCCGTTTCACTTAGGGGTGAAACTTCGTCAGAGCCCTTAATGAGCGTGATTCATCCATCCATCCACCCAGCCACCCACCCATCCATCCTTTGTCTAAGGGCTAGGGCCTGCGCTGAACACCCCTGCGTCCTTTACCGCACGCAACCCCACGGGACTCCTGGAGGAGGGGATTTTACGCAGGAGGGGGATGAGACAGGAGGACGGCCCTGGGCCCCTTCACCGCGCGAGGCCCCTTCGTGAGAGGCCGGCGAGCTCTGGAGCCGCCGCCGGCCGCGGGGGGGCGAAGGCACCAACCCTGGAGTGAACCCTTCCCCTCCCCCAATCCCCAGGACAAGGAACACAGCCGCGTTCCACATTCTCCCGGGCTCTCTGACTCCAAGGCCCCAGACCCCGGCCGGCCTGAGCGGCCACGGCAGGTGCCAACGAGCCGAGGCCGCCGCTCGGGCCGCGCCTCCCTGTGGTCGCCGGGAGCCGACCCCGGTCAGCTGGGCCTGGAGGAGGCGCGGGCGCCGGGATTGGCCGGCTCCGCCAGCGGCCTCAGACAGCGCCCCCGGCCCAGCCGCTCCTCCCCGGCACCGGAGGCCAGGGGCGGGCCGAGGGGGGCGCGCGGCCGCGGCTCCCGGGAGCTGATTGGCCGGAGCGGCGGGGGCGGGACTGCGAGTGTGAAGGGGTCTGGCTCAGGCAGCTGGCTGCTCTTTCCTTCCTCCCATCTGCGTCCTCGCTAACTGCTCCCGCGTTGCATCATCTGCAGCCTGCGGCCGCTGTGGGACAACTGGGCGCGGCGCGATCCACTCAGCCCGGCGCTCCAGCCCGCTCTCCCGCGCCTCTCTTGGCCCTCTCTGCACCTGCTTCTGTGCCCAGACCGGGAGCCCCCCGCGGGCCGGCTCCCAGAACCCGCGGGGCACAGCTGGCGAGCCTCGCAAGCTCCGCCTGATCCATTCATTGAGAGCCCTGTCTTCTTCCAGAGCCCAAGTACCCCGCGTCCTCCAGCTCCGAGCGGCGGGCAGCGCCATGGAGAAGAGCAGCGAAACCAACGGCTACCTAGACAGCGCCCAGGCGGGGCCTGCAGCGGGGTCTGCCGCGGCCGGGACCGCTGCGGGACGCGCGCGGCGCTGCGCCGGCTTCCTGCGGCGCCATGCGCTGGTGCTGCTCACCGTGTCCGGGGTGGTGGCGGGCGCAGGCCTGGGCGCGGCGCTGCGCGGGCTCGAGTTGAGCCGCACGCAGGTCACCTACCTGGCCTTCCCCGGCGAGATGCTTCTCCGCATGCTGCGCATGATCATCCTGCCGCTGGTGGTCTGCAGCCTGGTTTCGGGCGCCGCCTCCCTTGACGCCAGCTCCCTCGGGCGCCTGGGCGGCATCGCCATCGCCTACTTCGGCCTCACCACGCTAGGCGCCTCATCGCTCGCCGTTGCTTTGGCGTTCATCATCAAGCCTGGGTCTGGCGCGCAGACCCTTCAGTCCAGCGACCTGGGCCTGGAGGAGTCGGGGCCCCCTCCGGTCCCCAAAGAGACAGTGGACTCTTTCCTCGACCTGGCCAGGTAACGCTCCCCGACCTCGCCGAGTGCGCAGTGGGAGACGCCCGCTCAAATACACTCCAGATCGTACGCACACACATACCCTCATATACTCCTAGGAGTTAATTCTTAATTGGCTGCTAGTCGCCTTTAACGTTTTTTAAAATGCTGACCACACCTTTGCAAACATCAGCCGGGGCGCACCGGACAATCTCAAGGAGCGGGACTGCATCTTTTAGCGAGAACCAGTCCTAACGTTAGGTGGGAGTGTGTCTTAGGGAAGATTGCAGCCGTCTCACCCGTACTTCACTCCTTATATTCTCTGGCTGCCCTCGCCAGTAAAAACGTTACTCCACGCTCTGGTATCTTCATCCCATTTTCTTCCCACAATCCCCGAAAGCTTGTGAGAGCATTGGTTGAATTTTGCCTGTTGGGCCATCCTCACCTGTAATCTATGGTCGTCTCTGTTTCAGCCCTTTAGGAGAAAGCTGGCAATTTTTTGAAGTGTTGTCAGTGGACCCAAGGATAACAAGGCTGGGGATAGTTGTGTGGGGCCCATTGCCCAGAAACATGCCTCTCTTCCAGGCGTGGGGTGTGTTGCTGGCCACCCCACAGTCAAGATCACTGTAGAGCACTGTGAGTTTCAAGGGGCTTTATTTGTGGGAAGGTGTGTTTTAGAGGGGAGGGGAGAGAAGCATATTCACTAAGCTTTGCCTGGTTTTTGTGATTCTCAGAAGTTGCACTTCATCCCTTGAAATGTAGTGTAGTTTCTGTGGATTATTTAAAGCCTCGGCCTGGGCTTTTCTTGGTTTCTCCACTAGCCCAGAGTTCACAGATGGGAAAACAGCAGCCTGGAGGCATCTACTGACCTGGCCAGGTTCAGCTGAGTGAGGAGCTCAGCTGGCTCCCCCTCCAGGTTTCCGATAATTCTGGATTCCGAGCCTTGGAAGTATGTTTTGTCTCGAGTCACTGAGGCAAAGCTCCTCATTCCTGAGGCTGTGAAAAACAGCAAACCCTGGGCAAAATAACTTGACTTCCTGCTATTTCCATTTCTCCCTCTGGAAAATGTGATGACTGTCTGCCACTTAAGAGAGAGAGTGTTCATCTAAAACTACAACAACCAAGGCATTTACAGTGGAAAAAAAGAATCTCTGATGAGGAGGACCAAAAAGTTCTTACCAAAAAAGGCAGATGGAGGTGGTGTATTAGGACTTGGATGAGATCACAGTATTTGTTTAGTGTCTGGCAGCTTGATATTTGGAGTCTTTAGAGATCCTTAAAGTTTTGGGACTCACTTTTAGGTGGGTGCTGAAAACAAAGTCTACTGAGTTTGAGACAGCCTTTCGCTTATTACTTTCAGTGTATCAGTCAGCTCTCCTTAGGAGGGAAGGTGATTATGGGGTTAAAGGATTCTTTTTTACAGGGGTCTGTGGTCTAGGGGAGTGTGGATGCCCAGCCCTCCCATAGGGAGGCTCAGTAGCATTCTTTTATCCCCAGGAGAGGGGCAGTGGCCCAAAAACAGGGGGCAGGGGGTGAGGTGAGGGGATACCTTATTACCACCAGCCCTGGAAGAGACATCTTATTTCCTGATCATGGGTTTCTAGTTTTAGATCCGAGTCTCTTCAGCTCCTGCTTCTGAAGTGAATGATGACCCAGCCTCATGGCTTAGCGTTCAGTGTAGGTGCAGACTTTTCAGTGACTTGGGCTGCAGATACAGGGAAGGACTAAGAGAACCTTTGTCGTGGTTTGTTGGGAATAGGTAGCATTTCTTGCTTCCAATGGCCAACCTCATTTAATCCAGCAGCTCACGGATAAAGGTAGGGCAGGTGGTATGATCCTATTTTATGACTGAGGAAACCGAGACATGGAGAGATTGATTTGCTCAAGGTCACAGAGTGGTTTATCAAAAGAGGGATTAGAAAGTTCAGAGCTCTGTTTCTCCCACTCTCCTCTCCCCCAAGTCACCATGCCATGGTAGTGATGCCATGCTGCTGGGCTAGTCTGACGGTCCCAGAAATGTTTGCTCTGGGCCCAAAGAAGAACCGGGTAAGGGTATGATTGCATCAGCAGAGATGCTATTTCCTCTAAGCAGAGAAGTTGAGCCCCTTCAGTGAAAGAAAGCCTGTGTGCAGCTGCTCAGACTTGGCTTTCACGTTGAGCAGCTTGTGAGAGGAAACTGAGTTCTGAGCCACGTGGAAGTGCTTCCTAGGTCTGGAGACTCTCTAGGTAAAAATTTTAAAGTTGGTTCCTTCAAAGAAACCCCACGGGTGCCAATTTTATGTGACTCTGGGCATGTTCTTTAGCAAAGGCTGGGCACAGTCCTTTCTGCCTGTGGGCACTTGAGTGAAATGAGACTTGGCCAGTGAACACCGCAGTTGTCTAGCAGGCCCTCACCTGGTCTCTGCCCAGAACTTAAACATCTGGAAGGAGTGGGAAAAGTCTCTGGTGACCTAGTGCAGCTGCCACCAAGGCTTTGCTACAAGTCCATGACCTTTCCTGGTGGTGGAGTGCCCCAGAACTCCCACAGGGTTTCTCTGCCATGATTTCTAATTTATTTTTTCAAGATGGAACCACAAGTCAGGAAGAAATGAAGCTAATAGATATTCATTATGCCTTTTAGAAAATTCAGAATGCAGTTGCCAAGTGATTTGATTTCCCAACGCACAAGGGATTAGAAATAACGTAGTAGACTGGGGAGTGGGTGTGAGGCACTGGCACCAGAAGCAGGCCCTTTGATTGCTGAGGAGTGATGGTGGAGAGCAACCGGTGGGTGGGCAAGTCACAGACAGTCTCCTCCTGAGCAGCCCGGACTCTACGCCTGGGAACCTGGAACAGTACAGGACTCTCAGAGCTGGGTGTGACCCAAGTGATTTTTCATCAGCAATGAAATGGTTTGGGCACCAAAGAGAGAGACACAGATTGTCAGAAACCCAGTCATTGTGGGACTTCTGGGTCCCCAACAATGCTTACTGATTGTGGGTCCTAGGGCGTGTCCATAGCTTTCTGTGCCTTGGCCTCCTCATATTTATAATGGGGATCATGAGAGCACCTACCTCCTACAGGATGGTTTTGAGGGTTAAATGAGTTATGTCTGTAAAGCTCTTAGAACAGGGCTGGCCCAATATGTGCTTGCTCTTGTTATAAATGATTGGGTTTTTCTGGTTCACGTGAGCTAATGTCAATGACTCTTTTCATAGTCTGAAATACACGAGAGTAAATGGGAATAAAAAGGAATGTTTGGGTGAACCCAAGATGACTTGCAGCTAGTGTCGTCTTTAGGTATATTGGGAACCATGTGTGAGTCGGAGAAAAAGAAGTGAATGGTGACTGACTACGTTTTGGACTAATAGAATCACCACTCTGGGAAATTTGGAAAATGGAGAAAAGTCCAAACTAAACACAGAAGAGCCTTCCGTTCTGAAATGGGGCAGAAGTCCTCACACATCCTCCCTGACATTGCAGTTTCTTTTCCCCTGCTTTACGTGTTTATGGTCTCCAAAGTTGACCTCAGTTTTCTTCAGCTGTAAATGGAAAGGATTGGGGCAACCAGCTTCTAACATTCCTCTGGATGCTAAAATTTGTAGTTTTTGAATGGAAACCCAGAGGCTTATTTGCGAAGGAGGCAGGTAGGGTCAGCTCCTGGACTAGGGCTCTGTGCACTGGCAGCCAGAAGTGACCCTGGGCCACTGTCTTTCGCAGAAGGTAGCAGGGTTCTGCCGTGTGCTTGGTAAACACAATTGAGATTTTGCCTGTTGCCCAGTTTTCTAGGCTTTATTGTTTTTTCTTGTGCTCATTTTGTCAACAGTGGACAGTGCTATGAGCCTTTCCCTTCACTGAAGGAGATGTGAGGGACTTACTTTCCTCCCCAAGGACTGGCCTGAATGGGATGCCTCTCAAGCTGCAAAGAACACGTTTCTTTAATAGGTGCAAAGAAACCTAGCGGAGACTGAGAGCTACTATCAGCCCCTAGATCGCAGTCAGAGAGAGAATAGTGAATAATTTCTTTTAAATGTTGGCCATGGCAGGAGATTTGACCTAGGCCTAGGTCAAATCTTGCCTCTTCTGTAGGCAAGATGAAGACTCTTAGCAAATCTGACAAGGATCCAAATTAATGGAGGTTTCTCAGCCTAACTAGTCACTAAAGGGAAAAAATGGCAGCTTGTAATTAAAAAAATGAAAAAGTGGGGCCGGCCTGGTAGTGCAAGTGGTTAGGTACGCGCTCCGCTGCGGCGGCCTGGGGTTCGCCGGTTCGGATCCCGGGCGCACACCGACGCACCGCTTGTCAAGCCATGCTGTGGTGGTGTCCCATGTAAAGTGGAGGCAGCTAAGAATGTTAGCTGCGAATGTTAGCCCAGGGCCGGTCTTCCTGAGCAAAAAAAGAGGAGGATTGGCAGATGTTAGCTCAGGCCTGATCTCCTCACAAAAAAAAAAAAAAAATAATAAGAAAAAGTTTTTAACTTGACACCGTTTCTTCTACCACCCAGGAGAATACCTGAATAGTTCAGAGACTGAAAAGAGCGTAAACCCAGAGAGGCAGCATGGTAGTGACTAAGAGCAGACACTGCAGGCAACTACCCGGGTTTGAATTCGGCTCTACTGCTTACAGCTGAATGGACAAGTCATTTAACCTCTCTGTGCCTCAGTTTCCTTAGCTGTAAAAAACGGCTAATGATAGTATCTACTACCTAGACTTGTTAGGAGGATTAAATGAGTTAATATTTGAGTGTCTTGCTAATATTCTAATGTGTCCCAGCCTCTCAGGGACAGCTGAGGGCTACTTGGTACAGAGAACGAGAGCTCTTCTTAGACTTATTTCCTAAAATGTCCCCCGCCCCAGGGGCTGACGTTAGCTTTTCTGGCTGGAATCTAAAACTGGATATGGGCCTTAAAAAGAGGGTAGATTCCTCCCCCACCCCCACCATCACCGTCGCATGAGCCCACCACCCTCTGCCCTTCCTCTGCCAGCCTTGAAGTGAGTGCCAAGATCCGGAGGGGCACATCCCTGTTAACCGACTCTATCCCAA